CCCCGCAAGTAAGACGCCAGAAGCCACGTCCCCAAGCTGGCCGGGGGCCCTGGGACTCGGGAGGGCGCGCACCTTGGCCAGTGGGGGGAGCACAGACAGGCAAAAGCAGTTGGGCCCGGTGACAACGGGGATGCTAGGGGATTGGGCAGCTCCGCGGCAGGCCCAGCGTGGTGGCGGGGAGGGTGCCGAGTCGCGCCGCCTCCCGACGGGCAGTCCTGATCTCTGTGCAGCCGTCCCCAGGCCAAACGTGCCCGAGGTGGGGGATCGACGGCCCCAGAGAGGTGAGTCCAGAAGGGCCACCGGCAGCAGGTAGGTTGGAGTCCAACATCCCCCACGCCCCGTTGCCAGTTGACACTCCGGCTACACAGGACGTGCAAGGTGGACGGGCCAGGGGCTACATCCCGCCGGCGGGGGCGTCAAGGAGCCAGGGAGCAGAGCCTTTTCACAGCCCGCTCTGGGGGGCCCTGCCCGCGGCCGCCAGTGCCACACCATGGCAGGCAGCACATAGAAGCTTGACAGGGCAGGGCGTGGACAGCAGGAGCGAGGCGAGCACCGGGCTGCCCGGGAGATGTGTGGGCATGAAGGTCTGCAGAGTCACAAGGGCGGCTCCCACATGGGCACGCAGCGTACTGGTAAGGCCCGCTCACTCGGGGACCCCACGCCAGGAGGACCCACTCACTCGGAAACCTCCCCACAGATCCAGGAGGGCCCCCTCACTACGAGAACTCCCCACAGATCCAGGAGGACCCCCTCACTCGGAGACCTCCCCACAGATCCAGGAGGACCCACTCGCTCGGAGAACTCCCCACAGATCCAGGAGGACCCACTCACTCGGAGAACTCCCCACAGATCCAGGCGGCGGCGTAGAGCACCTCGCAGATGCCGTTGCGCTGCGTGCTGCTGGCCACCAGGTGTGTGCTGTCGAGCAGCGCGGACATCTGGGACACCGCGAACTTGCGGATGGCCTTCACACGGATGGCCACGTCCAGCATCTGGGCAGCGATGAGATGGCCATGACGGGTGCCCTCCAGGGCCGGGGCGGCGCCCCCCCAGCCGCGTCAGCTCCACCGGGACGCTGATGTACCTGGGGGACCAGGGCGGGAGCCAGTCAGGACCACCCCTCGGAGTTGGGCGGGGGAGGGCTGGGGAGGCCCCCCACTGGGAGCCGGGCGGGGAGGACTGGGCAGGGCTGGGGAGGGCCCCCA